AAAAAAAAAGAAAACGATCCGGATCCCAATCGGCTACTGTGCCCAGGGCTGGCACGTGAGTCCTCTGGATGGACGACTGCACCATCGCCTCAACAGTGGACTCCAGTGACTCCATGGTCGTGAGGACGGGCAAGGGCAGGCAATGCTTTGTCAGGTGACACCTAGGGCGGCCATGAGCTGGAAGAAACCTGACGGCAACGAACCACAACCGAGCGCCGTGGAAGGGTAGACTTACGGCATGTGGCGAGTAGACCCCTACTGAGGAGACGAGAACCACCGAGCTGCCCCTGGGAAGACAGAGAAGGGGTAAAGTATGGGGTGTGGAGGCTGCAGAGAGGACCAGCCGAGGACTAGGAAAGTGAGCGAGAGGTGCTTTGATTCGGGTGAGAACCTTTTGCCACCTCTGCACATTTTCTCTGCCCCAGCTTGGCCAATGTTAACTTTTTGTTTTCTAATCATGCTTGGATGCTCAAGATCTACTGGGCAATACCAATAAAGACACTTTAATGAAATAAATCCAATATTTGCTTTTATTCTAGTTTTTTTTTTTGTCTCCTTTCTGCCTGGAGAGCATTTTAAACTGGGTATGGTGAGGAGTAATATTAAAAGTAATATCAAAAGTGCGTTCCAATGGACCTTGAGAGTCTCAATCCCAGAAGTTTCCTGTTCCCAAATCCAGCCCTTAAATTCTCATAAAACATTTCTCATTTTCCAATCACCCCATTTCCATCTATCTTTCTGTAGCATTCAGTATTGAAGACGAACATTTCTTTCCTGGTAAATTTGTGTGGTCCTTTAGGAAACTGGGCATCCTTTCCCCCACCCTCCTCCCTTTCTCCCTTCTCCTTCCCCTTTTGTTCTTTTTTTTTCTTTTTTTTTTTTTTTTTTTTTGGCCCTTTTTTCGGATTTTTTCTTTGTCCCTCAAGTGTTTTTTCTTCATGCCCTTATTCAATTTGGAAGAAAGGGAAATAGGTTCACAATAATTATAATGAGCCATCAAATCTTGTTTTTGTTTAAAAACCATAGTGTTTCATCTTTCCTCCCCAGTAAAGCCAAACGCCTCATCACAATGTATACGGTCAAGGTTGTCTGTCATTTTTCACAGCCCCATTGATCAGCTTTCTCTCTTTTCAATTTCTTCCCTCCCTTCACCAGTTGCTCGACAGGTTCTTAGGCAGAGCACACATGAGGCAGTGTTTATGGTGGGACAGGAAGGATGACGGGGCTGATCCAAGACCTAGGAAGCCTGAGAGAACTGCATGAAACTGAGAAACTCAACTGGTCATCTTAAGAGAAGACTGTGTAGCCTGGATCTTGTGGCTCTAGACCCTTGGGCCCTGAGCTACTGCAGTCCTAGACAGATTTTTATTTCCCTTAACTCAGGACAGCTGTAGGGACTCTGGGCTCTCCCATCAAAGGAATAGCTTTTCTAACGTTCAATAGAGTCCCTGCCTGGCTCTGGGCACTCTAGAAATTGGAGAATAATGTAAAGAGACAGATTTTCCCACCTTCTTTAGTCTTCCCAGAAGTCTGAAAGTCAGACATGATTATTCTTGGGTTACTGACTCAGCTAAGGCTATTTCTCAGTGGGAAGGTCTAACTCAATATCCAGTCTCCTCTCCACCTAGCCCTCTCTGCTGCCTATTTAACACCAAATGGCTCCACCTCCCTCCTCAGTCCCTCTTCTCCTCACTCTCTCTTCTCCATGTAGGGCAGCAGCTGGCCGAGCAGCAGGGCTGGGGCCTTCACGTTGACATTCAGGACCTGAAACCAGAGCAAACGAGGGTGAGGAGAAAGACAGTCCCGAGCAGGGGCTCATTGCAAATGCCGGGCATGAGCGCATAGGACAACAGGAGGTGGGGAGAGTGTGGGGTTTCCTTCATTCTCAGAAGGAGCAGCAATCTGAGGATTGGGCTGAGGACTTCAGAGTCTACAGCAGGTCTCCCTCCTGTTTCCAAGGGTACCAGAGGGAGGGGATGCGCCCCTGTGGGGCTGAGGAGGCCCTAGGCCAGCTGGGTGTGGGAAAGACTGAATTTCAGGGTTGCTGCCTGGAGGTGCCAGTCTCGGAGACCAAGCATCCCTGGGGAGGGAAGAGCTTGACACATTGACTGTGATTATTTGGGTCCAGACTGGATACTCCCTGAGACAGGGAGCTCTTGGAGAGGAGGGACCAGACAGAAGCTTAGATGCTCCTGTCTCCTTTTCACATGTAGGAAAGGTGAGGCCCCAAGGGTCCTCACCCATGCCAAGGGCTCTGTGATGGGAGGGTAGGTGGGTGGGAGCTAAGGGACCGGCTCTGGGTGGGACCGCAGAGGTGCAGGGAAGGCAATATTGGAAGTGACCTTTCCTTGCCCCCGATCTCACCTTGTCCCAGACCTGTTCACTGCTCCCCAAGGTACTTCCCACCAGGGGATTGACCCCTGCCACACACACCAGAAAGTCAACAGCCCCACAGTGTTCCAGGGCCTGCAGGGGACAGGGGGACATAGAAGACTAGAGTCAAACAGATGACCCGAGAGTCAAACACAGGAGAGGGAAGACACCACGCCCTCCCCCTTCAGACTCCAAGCCTGTTTCTCTGCCAGATTTGTGGATCTGTGCAGGTGAACCATGGGCTTCTAGGGTGGTCAGTTCTGAGCCCCTGGCCACCCAAGTTGCTATGCTGGTGCACTGGTCAGGCTAATGTTAAAATAGCCTCGCCTTTCGGACCCAGAAGCATCATACATTTAGTACCTCGATGCCCCTTCATAGTGACATGACAGGTTGCGATCTGTTGGGCAGGGGTCTGCACTTGGAAGAACTGATCCAGGAAGATCCCCCCTGGCATTAATCCTCATGCTTGGGGGTAAACAGAGCTCAATCAAATGGGAGATCGAACTGTGTAGGGCCAAAGCTCATGGGGTGCAGCTCAAGGGGGAACTGTACTTGCATAGACTCCTCGTGCCGACTGTGTCTGGAGTGCCCTGTCACTGGGAACGTTGACGGATGCTGCCAGTGCAATCGCTTTAGACCCCAGGGGGATGATTGACAACTGCACTTTTTTTGTTTCTATGGGTTTTTGGTTTCCTGCCTTTAGCATGTGTTTTTGTTGTTCCCCCTGTTGTCTTCCTTGCTGGTTGGTTTGTTGCTGTTTATAGTGTAGTTGGTTTGGATTTTAATGGGGTTTGGATTTTGTCAGACTAGGACTGCCCAAGTCAAACTGAGGCATGCACATTTCAGGAACAAGCAGATGGATTCCGAGCTTCTACTTAACTCTAGCCCCAATCCAAGAACACTTAGTTCTGATAACAGGGCCCTGCTCCTTGGTCACCTTGAAGTGATCCCTGGAGATAAGGGTGCTACAGCAAAATGTGGTGAGGAAAACAGATGGTGCTGGCTGTCAATCGGAGAACTGTCTGTGGTCTAAAAGGCTTGTATTCACATAGTCAACTAAGTCCTCATGGCAGAAGCACACCAGTTTATGTGATCCAAAGATGACAATAATAAAGTTCAGATACGACGAGGGAACAGTATCAGAGCTAAAGCTGTGAACACCAGATTTCTAGAAGGCCATGGAGGACAGTGGGAGTCCCAAGCCCATCTGCACAGTACCTCGTCAGATGAAGCCACTGGCAGATAGATCCCCCTCTAGCCACATTGCAATCTTGTTATGCGGGGTCAAGTTTGATACTCGGTCCGTTGACCTCTCTATTGACTCCATTTGAATTTGTTCTAGGTGCAAGTATCTCTTGCTTGTTCCATGACAAAAATTTCCTCCTAGGCTTTTAAAACATTGATGGTGGTCTTTTCTTTCTTCCTCATTATTGATATGTTTATCTTTATATTATTATTATTTTATCCTTGCTACTTTCTTTTCTTTTTGTTTTCTTATTGTTTCTGTTGGGTGTTCCAGGTTGTGAAGCACAGAAGGAGTGGATCACAGAGACAATAACTGGTGCAAGGGTTTAGAGGGGATGGAGGGGTGGGGGTGGGAGATAGCGAGGGTGAGGGGCTTTCGGGAGGGGGGAGGAAGCACGAGAACAATCGTGATTACACAACTTATTTTAAAGGTGACTTAACCATGGGGGAAGTAAAAAAAAGAAAGAAAAAGTTCAAAATAGCCACCCCTTTCTCTCGCACAGCCGTGGTTTCTCACCGTGGTCACCAGCTTGTGCTGGTCCTCAGCCTTGCCCACGTGGCACACAGTGCCCGTCACGCTCAGCCCTTCCTTCCGCAACTCAGCTACAGCCCGGTCCACGTTCTGCTGGTTCCGGCTGCTGATCACCACGTGGGCACCATCCTGGGCCAGACGCTGGGCGATGGAGAAGCCGATCCTGTGGACAGATACGGAGAGGATGTGAGAATCCAGCACGGCGATGCATGCCGATCTATGAGACCTGTTTGAATTCTCATCACACCTCAGAGCGCAGAAGCCCTTCTGCCACCTCGGGGTGGTCAGCGGAGCAAGAATAATGGGTTGAGTCAGGGTAGGAGGGCGACTCACCATGTGGTGGCTCCCCACCAGGACCACTCACCCTTTTGTGGACCCTGTGATCACAGCGACTTGATCGGCCAGTGTCCGGCCCCTGGTGGCTGCACTGCTGGCTCTCCTCCTGGTGGCCAAGGATAGGAGCACCCTGGGGACCTGTGTCAGAGCCTTCAACATGTTGGTCTGTGCCCGCTTGTGATCAACTTGGCCTGGGGCGGTCTCTGAGGAAGGTTGTCACAAACCGATTAAGTAGCTCACACTGGTCCTGCCTGAGCCCTTTCTGCACTTGCCCGTGTCTCCTCCTGTCTGGCTCCCAGAACCCTCCCCATCATGCTTCAAGACTCCACCCTGGCTCCCTGGCTCTGAGACAGGAACACAATTTGCACGCAGCAATGTTTTCCAAGTAGAGGGATTTTTCTTTCTTTACAATGCCGACAGCACATTATTTGTGCTTTTAAAAGTTTTTTTTTTCTTAAAACACTCTCTGTCCTTGCCACCCTGTTGGTGGTCTGAAGACATTTTCAAGAGGTAGGTAAGCAGAAGCAGGGTGGGGGCCACCGCTGTGCGGCTTCTGTGGTTTCTTCAGCAAAGGATGGCCGCAGAGTCCTTTGGTTAATTCCTCGTTGCTTCTGCCTTCCGCACCTTGCATGTGCGCACAGCTGCCTGGCTGAAGTGTGATCTCCGTGGAACTCAAGCTGGAAGGGGGGAGCATCTGTCAGAGGTGGGATGTTACTGAGTGAACCAATCTCCCTCAACACCAGACACGGTCAGAGGCTGGCAGGGAACAAGGGAGCACATCTTCTGGAATCGAGGCACTGCACAAAGAAATACACATTCTATTGGCAGCGAGAGGTAAGTCCTGGGGAGAAAAGGAGGCAGGTTTGGGGGAAAGAAGGCCATCCCATGTTGTTTTAAAAACGGTGTCCAAGAGGCTTGTGAAGGCAAGGCTTGTGAACCAACCTGATGGTGTGAGTGGAGGTGCTGAGACTCAGGTGTTTATGCTGAGGTTGGGGGGTCTCTTGTCTATAGCACTGTCTCATGTATAACAACAGAGTATCAATAGAGCAGTGGTTCCCCTGAACACCATTGGAAAGACTCTGAGACACGATCTCATCTGCATGTGTTACTGAATTAACAGTAGATTGAAGTCAATGGAAAGGAATGGATTGCTGGTATGCTTAAAATATTCACTGGGTTAGTCAGGGTAGACTAGAGAAACAAACTCATAGATACTCATATGTATATAAAAAAGCGGTTTATATACAAGGACAATGGAATATTGAGAAAACGTCCCAGCCCAGTCCAGATCAAGTTCGTAAGTCCAATAGTAGCCCATATGTCCAATACCCATCTATAAAGTCCTTTTCAGACTCACAAAATACATGCAATGATGCCAAATGCAGGAGGATCGCAGGCCAGTGGGTTGGAAGTCTTGTGGATCCAGTGGCATTGTAAGCATCTCAGCACTGGCAGGGGTATCTCCATGGCTTTTCTGCCTCCAGAGGTCTGGTTGCATCAGGGTAGGACTTAAGGTGACCAGATTTTAACATTGGTAAAGCGGGACACCATTGATACAACTCATATCCTGGCGAAATAGCCACATGGCAGCCGAAAACCATCTACCATAGCTTGTCGTGCATTCTTTCCAAAAATTGGGACTTTTTAAAACACCGCGGGATGCGGAAAAAATTTTTAAAAATTGGGACTGTCCCGCCAAAAGCGGGAGGTCTGGCCACCTTAGGTCCATGCGGCTTCTCCAGCTCCCAGGGCTTGGGACCATGCGTCTTGTGAGCTGCTATGTCTCTCAGGGAGTGAGCGGAGAGAGAGAATGTGTCTCCCATCTCCCAGGAGGAAATCCAGGAATTCCCAGAATCCTTAGGCGAAGGCCATGCCCACACAGAGGCCCCATTGGCTATGGCCCGATTGACAGACTAGACTCCACCCCTTCACTCTTAATCCTCTTAAGCCCCAAATTGACACCAGAATCTGTAACTCCCACATTCACCTTTTAAGACAGAGTTGCCCGGTGGCAGGCTCTCCACAAGATGGGTTGCCACCATGGCTGCACACTGGGGGCCAATGGCAAGGATGGCGCGGGACCTGGCTGGGTTTAGTTCTGCTGTATGTGAGGTCGCTATGGGTCGCTCGGAACTGACTTGATGGCACCTAACCATAGCCGCAATGGAACCTAGATGCCGTAGTGTTGGGACACCCACCATTTTTCCTGACTCTGGCTCGTGGTGGCTCCACGTGTGCCAGGTAGAACCGCCCCACAGGCTTCTTGCTTTCATATTTCTTATTGTGGAGGAATTGGTATGGGGCCCATGACGGGCCTCCTCTTGCTTCCATGGGAGAAAGAGGCTCCAACTCCACAGCAGCCCATGGTAAACTGCCACAAGGATGCCTTTACCCTCCCGCGTCCTTTACCCCGCCTGACACCAACCATTGCATACTAAGGCTATGGGTTTTTTTGTTTTTAAGGGGCGCTAACAGGTTACCACGTCAGGATTAAAATAATCTTAAGGATACAGTCATTGGTCTACAGCAACACCTCTTCCCAGCCAACCACGTCTCTCTGTGGTCCTCAACCTCTTGGTCACATGGTCCTTTGGTCTCCGCCTGGTTTTGTGCTTCTCATGGCCTGCTAGCCTGCCTCACAACCTCAGTACTGTTCCTCTGTTCTGTCTCACGGTCTCAGTGCTGTGGCCTCTGGGACGTCTGACACACCACACAGGCATCTTGCACGTGTTCCACTGGTGGCTCTTCCTTCCTGATGGCCCCGGGATTCTCTTTCTGTTTCTGAGATGACTCTGAGGGATGGTGAAACTGACCATTTCCTTCTAGTGGGGTGTCACACATCCTGTTTGCCAGGGTTGATTGTGATGACAGCTTCCTGCTCCATCAATCTTCTGATCGTGGCTGAAGTGGTCCATTCCTTATCAGACCACCACTGCGGTGAAGTCTGGAGACCTCTCCTTTCCTGATACGTGCCTCTTTTTATAATGCAGTCAAATATTTACTGTAAGTTAAAAAGGCACAAGGCTCCCATACAGTAGGAATGAGAAACAATGGCTAACACTCAGTTCTGTAGGCGTGCCAGGTGTCTGGCTTCCCAGCTCCATCTGCCCCCACCTCCAGACTTCTACTCACATATAACTTCCTCCCCACCCTGGTCTGCTGAGGGGAACCTTGCACCCTACCCTCACTCACTAAAGGGTTAAAAGTTAAAATATGAAAGAGATGCCAGGTCAGCTGGCAGAAAATCCAGGCAAGGGGTTGACATCACTGATTAAGAATCCTCTCTGTTATTGCCTTGTCTGCCTGTGCCCTGATGGAGAGAGCCTGATGGAGACCAAAGAAAAATGGGAAATGAGTCAAGAGGTCTGATTTAGTCACTTGTCCCCAACACTAATTAGATGTCCCCTTTTAGCTAAACTGCCTATTTCTCAGAGCTGTGCTGTCTTACATTATTAAGAGTAGAGTGACGTATTTGATGAACTTTAAAAATGGTCTATTTCTCAAGCTTTCAACTGTCCTTTCGGTTGCAAACAGGTGCCTCTCTCTTGTCTTTAGTCTCAATATTCATTCCCCACAAACCGTGCCGACCTTGACATATTAAACGCATAACCTTCACCTCTCAGGAAACCCCCTAAGACAGTTTTATTGGTTTTCCAGTTGAGGCTCAGTGCTTGTATATGTTTTGAAAATTCAACAGCTAGAATGATGAAGACAAGCATTTAAAATGCCAACAATTTTCCTGTTTTATGAAAGGTCAAGGTTAGAATTCATTTCAGGAGGAGCAGAGATCTGGCTTCAAAAACATTAAAAAAAATGTTGTCTTCATGAAAACGTTTCAATGGGCCTTTTGGCTATGGAAAGCCAAGTGGAAATAGTCTTGAGTGGACAGATACAAGACCGTAAAGAGCCAAACGGCTGTGTAGTAATGCAACCGTTTATCTTTACTGTGGGCAGAGTTCTCATCCCTGTGAGGGATTATGTTCAGTGGAAAGCTGACCTTAAACAGGCTTGGCTCACGAGAGCTGGGAGGTCTCCATTTCCGGCTTGGAAAGTGGTCAACGGCTCATCCCTGGTCCCTGTGATCTTAGTTCTTGAATGCAAAGAAAAGCCCTGCCCAAGAGGACTCCCCTATAGCTCCTTCTAACCCCACTAGTCCAGGAAGAGACACAACTAGCTCTGCATGTGCTTCTCTGCGGGGTCACTTGATCTTGTCATCTAGGCGTAAGCCACAGTTCATGAACGTTACCCTGGAGGACGAGAGGGCTGCCTCTGGGTCTGTAGATGGAAAGGGGCAGCTTGAAGGGAGAAGCTAGAGATGTGGAGGGAAGGCTGACCTGTGGCAGAGATAAGCTGCATCTAGGTCCCAGCAAAGGACGCGAGGGACACTCTGGGTACCTCTGTGGGACCTGTAAGCACCCCTCAGGGTTAATCGGAACCATCTGGCGAGAGAGCCTTGGTGGAAGATGAGCTTTTTAATGACCAAGCAGTCTGGGGACGCCTGTAGACTCTGGCGAAGGGAAGCATGATCCCCGATAAGGAGATAGCTGGGGTCGATTGCAAGATAATTGCCTAACAGTGAGACATGCCACAGTAAATTCGTATAGATTCCACAATCTAGCTTACGAGGTACCTTTGGGTGGGAATGTAACTGAGGAGAAAGTGAGAAATGAGAAACATTTCCTTGCTTCCCACTTCCAAAATGTGGCCGTTAGCCTAAGGAAACAACGATGGTGCCATGAAGCAAAGGCCGAGCTGGGATCCCTCCTGCCTTTCGCAGTAACCGATGGATAACGGTGTGTTCACTGAGCTCCAGTTCGTCCATTTCCTCTCCAGTACCGTGACGCGTGACAGCGTGTGTCCTTGGATCTCGTGGCGCCCCCCCATAGTCCATTACGCTGACTATGCAGCGGGGAAAAACAAAGCCAAAACAAGACAGCCCTGGGGAAGATTCAGGGCACAGCTCTCAGACCCCGATAGCGTAGAGGCAGGTCATCTAGATGAATACCAGGAGCTGGAAACAAACATTTGTCTACGACTGCTATGTGACTCTGAAAATATTGATCACTAATGAAACATGTAGAACAATACTTAGGCCTAAAAACTACGCCTGACCAGCACCCTGTCCGTGTGAGGTGTGTGTGTGCGTCTGTATTCGAGGA